TCCGTCTCAGTCTGCGCTGCCGTTTCCGCCTCAGTCTGCGCTGTCGTTTCCGCCTCAGTCTGCGCTGTCGTTTCCGCCCCAGTCTGCTCGGTCGTTTCCATCTCAGTCTGCGGTCTAGTTTCCGTTTCAGTTTGCTCTGTCATTTCTGTTTCAGTTTGTGCTGTCAGTTTAGTTTCAATTTGCACTGTCGATATTTTGGTTAAATGCTCGGTTAAGGCTTCGGGTTCTGTTCCTGTTGAAGTTCTGGGTTCAAATTCTGTTGTCTTTTTAGGTTCAGTTATTGTTGATACTCCGGGTCTCGTATTTGTTGACGTCTCAAATTCATTGTGAGTAGATGTTATTAATGTTTCTTCAGTGGTCAGTTCCGCGGATGATACTAATGTTTCTTTAGTGGTCAGTTCCGTAGATGATATTAATATTTCTTCAGTAATCGATTCCGTAGTTGATACTGATGTTTCTTTAGTTATTGATTCTGTAGATGTTAATGATATATCTTCCGAGGTCATATCTGTTAAAGTTTCTGGTGTGCCATCAGTAATCAATTTTGAAATCAATGTTTCATTTGTGGAGCTTTCTGATATTGCTAACGTAACTTCTGTAGATGTTGCGGATTCAGCTTTTGTAGGTAATACAGAATTGGAGGATGGTTTTTCTGTCCTTATGGGCTTAGATGTAGTTGGTGTTACAGAGCTTGTTGTTCTTTCTTTTGTAGTTCTTGTTGACCACTCTGTTACAGTTCCTGCTAAATTATCGGTTAAGTTCCCAATAATTGTCTCTGATGTACGTCCAGTTATTGTTTCTGTTATACCTTCCGTTTCAGGCCTTGAACTTTCAGCCATAGACCCTGTTGAATATTCAGCTACTGTGTTTATAGAACTCACGTTTACTATACCTGTTGAGCTTTTGGTTGCAATACTTATTGAGTTTTCCAATACTGCAACTTTTGTATTCTCTGTTATTATACCAGTTGAACTATCGGTTACTGCACTGGTTGAGTTTTCATCCATAGTTTCAGGTCTACTTTCGGTTACAGTCACAGTTGATTTATCCATAATATCACCTGTTGAATTCTCAGTTGTTTTAGTTTGAGCTTGAGTAATCATTTCAGTTTGTGTTATCGTTTCCATTTTACCTTCTGTGGTCGTTTCCTTTCCAGCCTGCGTTGTCGATTCGGTTTCAGCCTGCGTTGTCGATTCGGTTTCANGATTCGGTTTCAGTCTGAGTTGTCGATTCGGTTTCAGTCTGAGTTGTCGATTCGGTTTCAGTCTGAGTTGTCGATTCGGTTTCAGTCCGCGTTGTTGTTATGGTTTCAGTTTGTGCAGTTTTTTCAGCGTCAGTTTGTAGTATTTCTTTATCAGCTTGGGTTGTCATTTCGGTTGCGGTGGGCGCTGTTCTAATTTCTGTATCAGTTGTTTTCACGGCTTCGGTCGGAATTGTCGTTTTGACTCCTATCTGAATTTCGATTTCACTTTTTGTGGACGTTTTCGATTCAATCTCTGTTTCATTTTCAATTAAAATATTTGTTGAATTTTCAAATACAATTTTCGTTGAGTTTTCGGTAGTTGCTGATTCCGCTGTGTTTAAGTTTACAGCCGTTGTTAAACCTAATGTTACAGTCGAAGATGTTACTACCTCTGATTTCGAAACATGGTCTAACTTTGTTGAGTTTTCAATCGACGTTACACCTTCCGTTTGAAATGACTCAGAATAATCCGAATTAGATGACGTCTCAGTCCTCGGTGATGTTGAAGAACTGCTGGAGAGTTTTGGTTCATTCAATGTACTATTTTCAGTTGAGCTAATTTCAATGCTTGAGCCTGTGGTAAGGTTTAGATCAGAGTTTGATGAATTCTTTGTTGCGAAAGATGCAGTTGTACTACTTGAAGAAACTTTCATTTCAGTATTAGAAGTAGTGGATATTTTTGTAATAATGCTTGAGGGAGAATTCGATATGCTTTTAACTGTTGTTTCAATCTCTGTTACTGTGTAAGTTGTTAAAGGTGTATCAGTTGTCTTCAAAGGCATTGTGTCCGTCGATAAATCTGGATTAGTTTCAGTCATAGAAGGCAATTTTGTGTTTGAAGAACTGTTAGCGGATGGTGTTGACTTTGCTTCACTAAAAGTTGTTGATTCAATATCTGCAAGATCATTAAATTCTGTTTCTGTATTTTTTATATTTTCAGTTTTTATCTCGTCGTATACGGCAGATGAGGTGTCATTATTCAAAGATAATGGGCTACTTGAGTAATTATCTGGATTCTTTTCCTCACTGCTAACAGTATCGATTGTTGATGGAAAATCAGTAGAAATTGTTGTGAATACTGATATAGTATTTGGCTCATATTTGGATTCTTCTGTCGTAGTTTCCGGTTCAGAATCATTTTCTTCAGACGGTTCGTTCTCTTCCTTTGAGAAAGAGATGAAAGAATCTGAAGTGCTTTCATTTAACTCAAAGCTCTCATCATCTGTAGTTGTATTTGTGTATTCTGATGCAGTTATGTATGTATCATCAGTTTTAGAACTATCGTAAGTACTTGATAAATTATCATACTGCGTTTCTTTTTCGGATGGTTCATTCAAAGTTTCTGTAGTAAATTCATTCATACTTTCTGTTACTTCACTTGTATTTGGAGTGAGAAGAGCTAGAAAAATAAAATACATAGTAGGTACTTTTTCAATATTTTTATGACTGAACCTCGCATGAGGAGAGCACAACTTAGAAAATTCAATTTTGGTGAAATTTGGCATATTAGTAGCATATTCATGAAGGTGTCTATTCTTTAAAATAAAGCGCTTTAGTCAGTCAATTCGAACACAAACGCATTTTAGGAATTTAACAAACCTTGTATATTAGTTAAATCTTTGCTTTGTTAACTGCGCTGAGACCCAGTGGTAGTATACTTTCCTACAAAAACGAGATGGCTTGCGTTCGATTCTCACAGTGGATAGCTTTCTTTTCTTTTGTTTATTTGTACAAATAGTATTAGTTCGAAAATAAAGTTATGTATTTTATTTTTTTACTTGTTAAATTTAACTTTTAAATTTCAGTGATAATACATTTTATTAAGAAATGATAATGGTAAAAATATTAAATTTATACGCAGTAATTATAGCAATTAAAAGTTAGATTTTGATTCCTCCAAAATTTGTTGGTCTTGGACAATTTTGAGATGTTTTATATTTATAAACAACTAATGAGTCTAGCAAAGTGTTTACAGAAGTCTGCAAATTTGAATCGAAATTCTCATGAAGAATGTGTGTTAAAGTCTAAAAAGCAGTTCATCGTCAATTTTCAATGTAAATTTTTGTTAAAATATAAAAAGGTTTGATTGGTACGTTTTTCAACTTACAGAGGATTGAGAAATCTTTTTGAATGTTAATAAAGTATGTTTTACCACAGGTTAACTACTAAACGTTGTTTAATCAACTTTTATTAACAATGTAATATGCTAAGTAATGGTCAATAATTATGAATTTTCATAAATTTTACCCACAGCACCACATTATTATTCATAAAATATATATATTAAAACTAATAAATAAAAACTACCTTCTCAGCCATTACTAATGAATATTAATATTTTACCCATAATTGTTTTATTGAAAGATTATATTATTGCTGTTTAAATATCAAAGAATACCTTATAATTAAAAAAAATTTATGAATTAGATTAAATGATTTAAATTTAACTTTATATTTCTAAACAGTAAAGTCTAAATAAAAAGTAAAAGAAAACAAAATATAAGAGACATCCACCTCGCAAATCATCACTATTCCTCTTGTTACTAGACAGGTTTCCTACTACTAGGCAACAGGACCGTTAACGAAGTGTGAANAATGAATTAGATTAAATAATTTAAATTTAACTTAATATTTCTAAACAGTAAAGTCTAAATAAAAAGTAAAAGAAAACAAAATATAAGAGACATCCACCTCGCAAATCATCACTATTCCTCTTGTTACTAGACAGGTTTCCTACTACTAGGCAACAGGACCGTTAACGAAGTGTGAAATTTACTGGTATGTTAAATGTGTTTACATTTTCAAATGTGTTTCCTTAGAAATTTACTGTCTAGTGCGCTTTATTATTATAAGAGGTGAAAGCCCTACGGTATACTAATATGCCAAGTTCAGTCCAAAAATTAGCTTTCCAAAACGTGTTCTCCCCTTGTGAGTTCAGATCTAGGAATTTATAGTTTTCGCATTCTAGCAACTATTGGAAAAATTTTAAAATTATCTCAATTTCGAATTTTTAAAACGATTGGATTAAACGTCCATGCTATAAAATTTTAATATCAAACACATTTTCTGTAAAACGTGTTAAAAATATGTAACATGTGTGAAGTATAAAATCAATCGATTAATGTATTCAATTTTTTAAAGAAAAGTGCGAATTCCATTTGAAAGGTCCTTAAAAATAAATTAAAATGTTTTAAAGCAAAATGTCAAAAGGAAGAGAGATTTCGCAAACTTGCGTTAGATTCCGTTCGTATGAAAAACGCAGTATGATGCATTTTTCTCTATGCCCGTAAACGAAGACTTAGTTTATTTAATCAAATATATCATAATTCAAGAGTAAACTTAATTATAAATTCCACATGAACAAAAAATGGGCCACAAAATATAAAAAATACGCGTGTTATAAGCATTTTATCACTAGTTATATCAAAAATAACTTTCATAACAAAAGTACGACCTGGGCTGAACTAATTCTCTAATCTTAGAATCCCAAAATATTAAGGTGAATTGTCACAAAAGCAATGTTTCCTACCACTAAGTAAATTTTAATATAAATAAAGTAAATAAATAGTAAAGTTAAGTAAAAGTAGTTGTAAATCGTTAATTTTTTTTTAAATATTTACCGTTAAGTAAATAACGGTAAATAACAGTTGAAGCTGTATGCTACGCTTAGTCAACAGTTCTGATAATGTCTTGTAACGCCAATTCAGGGAATGATTAATAATTTTTAAGTTAATTTAAAATATAATATGTGATTTTCTAAGTTCAAAAATTATTTGTGTCTTTCAATTCATGGTTAAAAAAAGGTTGATATTTTATTCAAAGACACCAATTTATGATTCCTCAATTTTATTCTTCAATTCTCCAATTCTCAGCTGTCCATTTTGATCGACTTTCCAAGCAAGTCTTTCATAATTTTTTGCAGATTCATTAACATTTTCAACTGGTTATAAAACAAAGTATTCAATGTTTAGCTTTAACTAAAATTTCATAATATGGTGTAGGTCCTAAATTAATTTTATAAAAAAATGGAAAATACTGAAAAAAATATTTGTTAAAGTGTAAAATAAACATTACTTAATGGGACAAAAAGCTTCAAAGATGGATCAGTTTTTAATAGTTTGGTAAATAAAAGGTTAAAAGCAATAAAACTTTATAAAATTAGACGATATTTTACTCTTAAACTTACGTTCCGCACATAATTATTTTAATCACAGAATTCTTACGCAGTATTTTTTATTGTACGAAGTTCCTTCTCATCAATAAAAATAAAATTAACAAGTTTTCAAAAAAACTATGTATCTACTATCAAATCACTATCACTATCAAATCAATCAATCAATATCAATCACTATCACTATGTATCTACTATCAAATCACTATCA